ATAATCACTACTGACTAATAATCAACGTTTGTGAAACGTAGCATGTCCGGATTGAGCATCTGTGATCGCTTGCCGGGATTGTTAATGCAGTTGTGTTCGTTTTTATTAGAAACGTCGTTTAAAATATACTTTTGTTACCAATAAAATAAAAACAAATGTATTTGAAAAATGACACTGGGCGACACTTTAATGACATTTCAGGTGGTCTACTTTTTAATTCAGCAATAATTATTAATTATTGTTAATTCTGCAATAGTTTCTTTCGTCTTGGGTGGCCCAACTCACGGCGTAGAAAGTCTGTGTAGTTGGATACAATGAAAATGTCCCCCCAAAATATTTGATAATTATTTTTTTAATTTTTGAACCCCAAATAAGCGCACATCAGCCGTGAAAGTATTATTATGGACATCTCACGCATATTGCCAATGTTTTATACTGTTTGCAGTTTGCATATGAAAGTGGTTGTTGATGCCCCTCCTATTATTCGACGTTGTTGACAATGCGATAACAATGCCACTCGCACTGTGCACATTTTAGCACTAGATCTAGTGCCATTTTAGCACTAGATCTAGTACTTTTTCGGATTAGTGCTAACCACTCGCACTACGCCCATTTCGACACATTTACATACATGACGGCACTGCGAGTATGTGACGGCACTGCGAGTATGTGACGGCACTGCGAGTATGTGACGGCACTGCGAGTATGTGACGGCACTGCGAGTATGTGACAACACTGCGAGTATGTGACGGCACTGCGAGTATGTGACCGTACTGAAAGTATGTGATGGCACTGCGATTATGTGACCGTACTGTGAGTTCGTGTGACGGTACTGTGAGTTCGTGTGACGGCACTGAGAGTTCGTGTGACGGTACTGTGAGTTCGTGTGACGGTACTGCGAGTATGTGACGGCACTGCGAGTTCGTATGACGGCACTGCAATTATGTGACGGCACTGCGATTATGTGACTGTACTGCGATTATGTGACTGTACTGAGAGTATGTAACGGCACTGCTAGTATGTGACGGCACTGCGAGTACGTGACGACACTGCGAGTACGTGACGACACTGCGAGTACGTGACGGCACTGAGAGTACGTGACCGTACTGCGAGTATGTGACGGCACTGAGAGTATGTCATCGTACTGCGATTATGTGACGGTACTGCGAGTATGTGACGGTACTGCGAGTATGTGACGGCACTGCGAGTATGTGACGGCACTGCGAGTATGTGACGGCACTGCGAGTATGTGACGGTACTGCGAGTATGTGACGGCA